ACTTCGTATTACAGAGTAGTAAGTAGTCTAAGTACTACTCCGTATTATATTGTACATACTTATTAAGTAGTAAGTACTACTCCGTATTATATACATGTACCTGTACACATTAATTGTACTATTAAGGGTCTGTTCTTTTGGATTTGAACTCTTAATTTCCAGTTTTTTCCAGTTTTTTCCAGTTCTTTTCAGTTCTTTACAGTTTCTTCCCGTCTCTTCCAGTTTCCTCCAATTCTTCCAATTTTTTTCCAGTTTCTTCCAGTTTTTCTTGTTTTTTTAGTTTCTTCTAATTTCTTCCAACTATATTTATTTCCTTCAAATTCTTTCTATTTTCTCACAAGTCACTCTAAAAAAATATGTTATTATTAATCTTTAGAAAAAATGACTAATGTAAGAGTATAACATAAAAAATGTAAAAAAACAGTTCTATGTTTTTATTCAAAAAGTAGGGTTACAATGGAAATAAATTGTCAATCCTTAAAGAAAAATAGGTTTGATTACATTATGTGACATGTCAGATATTTTAAACAAAATCTTGTAATATATAAAATATAATTACAAATATATTATTTTATAATAAATACATATACCCATAATAACTCTTAACTATTTAACATTTTGATATTTATGCTAATTTTATATTCTAATTATTTTTTTAAACAATCTTTTTATGTATGAAAATAATATTCGTAATATTTTTTTTATTTTAAAGACAATCATTTAGATAACGTAATAACACTAGTACTACCACCACCACCACCACCACCACCAACAACAACAACAACAACAATAATAATAATAACAGCAATAATAATTTATATCAACAAGAATCAGAATGAGAATAATTTAAAACCATACATAAAAATTTTTAAAAAACTTTTTTTTAGATTTTACAATTTATTCTAGCTTTTTTAGTTTCTTTTAATTTTTTCCAGTTTTTCTAGTTTCTTCCAATTTCTTCCAATTCCTTCTAGTTTCTTCCAGTTTCTTCTAGTTTCTTCCAGTTTCCAGTTCTTTTTTTCCAGTCCTAAAAAACAGACCTAATACGTGTACATACATTAATTGCACTATAATACACACACCTTAATGTATACACATGTGCTTACATTAATTGAAGAGGAGTTAGTAATACGGACTAGTGCAATTAAGTTGAAAATAACATGTACTTACCCTGGGTACTATTATATAGGTAAGGGTTAAATTAGTATGAGAGGGTTAAATTAGCACGTACAATTAGTACCATATTATACATACAATTGAGCATGTGTGGCTAGGAAGATGTGCAAAGTGGCCAACCGCACAGGGCACCTTAAAATTTAGGGCACCATATTTTTAAATTTGTTAATAATTTTAAAGCAAAATTATTTAGAAAATATAAAATAGGGCACAAAATGTAAATTTGGGACCGGGCCAATTTTATTTTTTCATACCGGCCTTGCAATTGAGAGGGTTAGAACTATTTATACAAACATTGCAAGGGTGGTTAAATTAGTACGTACAATTGAGAGGATTAGTACTATTATATACTTTAATTTGTACTATTATAAAAAATACTACTCCGTAGTATATTTTTCCCATATATAAATCTCAACCACATTTTTTCTTGAGCTCTGGAAGTTTAATTTGGGACAAAAAGAGTTCGTGCATAACTAATGTCTAAAGTAAAACATATGAATATTTGTGCCAAATTTTTTTTCATTTTTTATAAACAGATTTCAACATTTCTACTTTTTATTAAAAAAATCACTTTTACTTTTTCATACCGTACTTATCACATCATATTTTTTGTCTATAGAAATTATCCTAAATAGGACTAAAACATAGAGAAAAGTACCAAAATAAGACTTTCATGTTTTTTCCCCGATATGGGACTTTGCACTGTGGTAATTTGACTTTGCATTGTGGTAATGTGGCTGTGTACATGTGCACATTATTATACTTTTTTTGTAATGTATATGACCATATTTGGTAATGTAAGTCCTATTTCGAAAATAAAAACATGAAAGTCCTATTTTGGTATATTTTCAATGTTTTAGTCCTACTTTGGTCTTTCTCTCTTTTATCTAATACTCAATCCATCATATCTTACTTTTATCCATCACATCAAGGGTAAAATTTGAAGTCAACTATTCTCTCTGTTCTAAAACTTTCTTCCCACTTCTCCTTTTTCTACATCTTAAAACTACCTTCCTATTAGAAAAAAAAGATGACAAATGACATTAATAACCTCATGTATTTACACCAATTATCTTCTAACTCTATATTTTGAATGATTGTAGAAAAGAAATTTCAAAAAATCTTTTTTTAAGGAGGGTAAAATTTGAAGTTACACCCAAAAATTAAAAATGAGGAAAAGTCAAACTAAGAAAAAAGAATTAGAACGAAGGGAGTGCAATTTAAAACTTTCTTATTTTACACAAAGTCAAAATAGAAACACTTTTATGGGATGGTGAGAGTATCCTATACTATGCCTCATTAGGTGAAGGTGATAGACGAATTACCTTACGTATATGGAGGTGGAGGCTGGAGCCTGTAGGTGTAAATAAAGGAGCAGCCATAGCCTTTCACATTTGCAAATCATTCATCCAATTAATTATAATAATCAAATAAGAAATCAAATCACATATAAATGGCTGCTAAAAAGTGTCACCATTTGACAAAATATCAAAACAAGAATAAAATTTATGGGAGGGAGGAAGTATATTTTTATAAGAGGAATTACTTAAATAGAACTAAAAATAATGACTTTCCCTAAATAGCACCACAAGTGTTTTTCTTCTCAATGTAGCATTTTTAGTCATTATGTATTAGTCATCATTCAAGTAAATATTCGTCATCACTGAACATCATTATAGACATTATTAAGTGCTATTTAAGAAACAAAATAGTTTAAAACATTTTATGTACTATTTAGAAAAATGACTTAAGTTTGGTGCTATTTAGTGCAAATATATCTTTTTATAATAGTACAAATTACCGTAATGTGGCATTGATGCATAACTAACCCTGTCAATTATAAGTAGCGAGTACTAATTTAACCACATTTGCAATTAAATGGTGCGTAGGTACAATGTACCAACTACTCCGTATAGTCTAATACTCCAAACTATTGTTATATTTTTACAATAATACAATCTAGTTAAGGACCGTATATTTTGGTAATTAAGCACAAGGAAAGAATTTAAATTGCTGTATATTTCATCTCTCATAGTATATTTCTATTGTACGGAGTATTATTTTTTCAAGTGAAATTGGATCAATTTAAACTTCATTAATTAAACAAAAATTGTAATGTATAATAAAATAAAAATAATTTTATTACATTTATTCAGGCAAAAACTTTAAAAAAATAACATTCAAAATTTAATTTAATTGTACTAATGTGTAATATAAGTGTCGTGAAGAGGAATTGTCGCATCATCTCCCAACGTTATTTCAAAAGCCGTACGATTGTGAGTTGTGTTACTCCTCTTGTCCGAATTTTGTTTTTCTGTTTTGAATTTTCCTCATGTTCAAGGGAGTTTGATGATGGGTAGATTGGTCTAAAATAGCGCGAATAAGTGGATTTGTACAAAATACTTTTACTAAAAAATACTTAAACATGAGAAGTCAAAAGATTCAATCCGGACGGACAATCTTGAATCGAACATATATGTTAATTATTATATTACAAAAAAAGTAATCATTTAATTTTATATTTCTTTATTTAAAAAAATTCTTTTCAAATTTGTTTTGAAAAAAGATTGGTTCAAGTTTTAAACATAAATATGTACGTACGCACCATAAAATTAGACTAGTTGGTACATTAATTGTACATACATACGCACCATAGGTATATATTACAGAGGGTTAGTAATTTAGTACTCCGGAGTAGGAGTAGTAAGTACAATTAAGTTACGGAGGGTTATTATTAGGGAGTAGTAAGTACTACTTCATCCGTCCCAAAAACATTTACACGTTTCAAAAAAATTGTGTCCCACAATCCCTTACCCATTTTATTAAAAAAATCACTTTTACCCCTTACTTTTTCAAACCCTACCTATCACCTCATACCTTTTTTCTAATAATCTACACATCACATTCTACTTTTACCCATCACATCAAGGGTATTTTTGGAAAGTCAATACAAAATTATCACTCTCTTAATTTCAACTTTAGTCAAAATGGGTAACACTTTATGAGATGGAGGGAGTATTATATACATGTACCCGTACAAATTAATGTATACACATTAATGTATACACATGTGCTTAGCTGCTTACATTAATTGAAGTAAGTAATCTGTCAAAAAAAAAAATTTGAAGTACGTAAATATGGAGGGGGAGGCAGGAGCGCCTGGAGGTGTATATAAAGGAGCAGCCATAGCCCATAGCCTTTCACATTTGCAAATCATTATTCATCCAATTAATTATAATAATCACATAAAAAATCAAATCACATATAAATGGCTGCTACTCAAGGAGGTTCTTGCGGCGGCGGCGGCGGCACGTACTAGAGTGCAAGAGAGAACAAGGCCTTTGAAGAGGCGCTAGCGGTGTACGATCAGGACACGCCGGACCGGTGGTACAACGTTGCGAAGCTGGTGGGAGGCGGGAAGACGGAGGAGGAGGTGAAGAGGCACTACCAAATCCTCGTGAGGGATATCAACCGCATTGAGTCCGGCCATGTACGAGATAAAAACTAGTTATACACATACTAATCATGGACTTACGAACTATTGTACTCTTTCCATTGGTAATGCCTCATTACCTTTTCAACAGAAAGGATTAATATGGGTACCGGCTTTGGGATCTATTCAACTAACAGAAAAGTTATTCGGAGCAGAGATGTTGTATTCTTCGAAGACCAAACAATTGAAGACAATAAAAATTCAGAGAGACCAAGATTGAGAAGTAGCAAGAGTGCCGATCTCACTCCATCTCGAAGTGAAGACAATGACACTCAAGAAGCCAATGATGCAGAAGATCACGAGCCTAAGAGTCGTGATGAACAAGCACATGAAGAACCTCAATCTAGCTCTCTCATAGCACCAGAGCCGAGACGAAGGGGACGCGGCCGGACTCAATGAAGTTGATATCCCTCACGAGGATTTGGTAGTGCCTCTTCACCTCCTCCTCCGTCTTCCCGCCTCCCACCAGCTTCGCAATGTTGTACCACCGGTCCGGCGTGTCCTGGTCGTACACCTCCAGCGCCTCTTCGAACGCCTTGTTCTCTCTAGCACTCCAGTACGTGCCGCCGCCGCCGCCGCAAGAACCTCCTTGAGTAGCAGCCATTTATATGTGATTTGATTTCTTATTTGATTATTATAATTAATTGGATGAATAATGATTTGCAAATGTACTCCACGCCCCTCCTCTTAATCTCATCACCATCTCACTCATTTATTGTTGTTTTGATATAAAAACTAAAATACACAAATAGTAATTAATTAAGTTTATTTTTTTAATATAAAAATAACAATTTTATTGATAATATTTTATATATAAAAGTATGCGAGCCTCTGCGAAGCACGGGATAAAAACTAGTTATACTAATCATGAAAGTACAAACTATTGTACTCCCTCCATTCCATAAATTACTTTCGGTTTTTACTTTTTTTAGTCAAATACTAACATATTTGACCATAAATTGTCAAAAATTATTTTTAACTATGCAGTAAATACAATATAATTATATCATGTTCTAATAGAATTTCTTTAATTCAAAATTATCAATTTTTAATTAAAATTTGTAGTAATTTGTAGTTAAAAATTGTCACCATTTGACAAAATATCAAAACAAGAATAAAATTCATGGGAGGGAGGAAATATATTTTTATATTTTTATGATAGTACAAATTGCTTTAATGTTGCATTGATTGGTAACTAACCATATACTCCGTATCAATTATACGTACTAACCGCACATGCAATTAAATGGTGACACTTGCAATTACTAACCGCACATGCAATTAAATGGTGACACTTGCAATTAAATAATGGTGCGTATGTACAATGAGTCCAAACTATTGTCATATTTTTACAATAATAGGAGTACAAACTACTTAAGTACCGTATACTCCCTCCGTTCCGCTATATTCGTTCATTTTTTACTTTTAGAAATATCATCTAAGCATTTCGACTCATCAAATTCTCTCAATGTGTAAGCCTAAATATAGTTATATGTGATTTTGTTTGATTTGTCTTAACATATAGATTAATTAATATATACTCCCTCCGTCCTAAAACTTTCTTCCCAGAGCACTATTCCAACTTCACGGGAATTTATATTTATTTGTGTTTTTTATGGCCTATATGATAAAATAAAATATTCTTGTCACCACTTGTTTTGTTGAACTTTTTGTTAGAATAAGTGCCCTCACTAGAGGGGGGTGAATAGTGAGGCACGAGAATGTTTATAAATTTTTGCGGAATAAAAATCGCAGGGATAAAGTAAAGAACGTAAAAAGTAAAGAGCGTAAAAAAGCGTAAAGAGAGCACACCAAGATTTATACTGGTTCACCACAACGTGTGGCTAGTCCAGTCTCCCGAGAGACTCTCTCGAGCTACACTACTTCCGTTAAGCTTACGGGTGCTTAACAAACCGTTACAACCTGAGAACTCGAGTCCCACGAGCCTCAATACACTTGCTCGGAGATACTGCACTCCAAGACTTCAACTCGAAGGAATATGTCCTTCCTTCGTACAACCAAGGGAACAAACCTCCCTTAAAGTGTTCACAACACTTAACCACTCAAGAACAAAAACTCTCTTAAAGAGTAGAATATGAGTAAACTAATTTAGATCAAGAACACACTCAATTCCTCAAGAAATGGCTCTAAAAAGCTATGTAAAAAGTTTATGGAATGATGCAATGTAAAGTTATGAAATGTGTGAGGAATGGATGTAAAAA